CCTGAGTTCGGATGTCTTCTTCAAAATGAGAATAAACAAAAACTAAAAATATAAAAAAAATAATGAAAAAAGAAATATTAGTTGAAAATTGCCTAGAGCCGAAGTTTAGACGCAAACTCCCGAATGAAAGTAAATGGTATGAGTCCGCTACTTCAGAAGGACACCGAACTGTATACTTCAGAAAAACATACATTACTAGGCCCTCGCTTTTCTTTTACATAGCTCACGCACTCTGACTTTTGTGTTTTACTCCTTTTAAACCTCGTAAGTAGGTGAAATTATCACCTGTCTTTCACTTTAAACTAAATGTTCGCAGAAGAGACTGTAAAATATCGGGAAAATAATATTTCCTGAAAAAAAAACAATAAAAAACGATAAACCCCATGCCTGTTATATATTTTGAATTATTAACACCTTTTAAATACTGAAGGTGCAGATCTGCACCTGTCTGCCGGTTTTCTTGTGTCTTCTTCTCTTTTCAAACATACTGCTTTCTCTACTTATTCGTGATATTGCTAGCTCATCTGGTGAATAACGGGATCATCGGTATTATAAAATCTGCTGACAAGTTCAAAGTGGGTCTCATAAACAACTGGAAATGTCACAAATATGATGTACTTACGGGTAAATTTAAAGTTTAATAGACTTTAAAGCTCTTTCTGAATGATTTACTGATAGTTATTGTTTATTCTGCATCTCTTATGTAATACGTCAGCACCTGTACAGAAATGCCACTTACCTTCCTCAACTAACGCAACCATTTATGGTTCCCGCGTGAAATTGACATGTATTTTTTTTTCAATCACAGTTTAGATTTGACGCTATATCTATTTCCTTATATGTACACTTCATTTTAAATGTTTCTCTCACATTTACCAGTATTCAACTTATTTCTAAATTAACAAATCATATTATATATTCTATAAGTTTTCATAAATGTACATATGTTCATGCCTGTAAAAATGGCTGGTTTCTGTTACAGAAATAAAAATTATTATTATTATTATTATTATTAACCCCTACGGTGGCAGACAGCGAAGTCAGTATAAATGATATGGTCCTAGTCAGGCGAGATAGGGACCTGAAAGAAGGAGGTGGAGTCGCCATATACGTCGACAAACAGCTCAGATGTGTTCACGCGATGGACCCTCCCCTCACAGAGCTCCCTGACTCCATATGGTGCCACTTCACCGTTGGGTACTGCAAATATCTAGTGGGCAGCATTTATCGATCACCTTCATGTGGAGCAGAACACAACCAGGTACTGCTAAATACAATCTCAGCAACTCAAGACATGGGTTATGATCAAATTGTCATAGCTGGTGACTTCAATGCCCCATCTCTTAACTTGGTGTCGGGAAAAGCCCATGATAGATTTGATCGAAATCTGCTGCATACCATCAGGAAGGCTGGATTCACTGAAAATGTCAAGATGGATACTAGATGGGGCCCTGATGGGAAGTCTTCTAGACTGGATTACGTGCTCACTAGTGACCAGCTACTAGTGGAAAACGTTCAGATCACGACTCCCATAGGTAGTAGTGACCACGCGGTCATAGTATTCGACATAGTCCTCCGCGAGCGCTTACAGTGGGACAATACACAGCCCTATCTGTGTTATAACAAAGCCAATTGCACCAAAATGCGAAGACTTCTGTCTGAAGCAAATTGGCCTAAAAAATGGACAGAGCTAACAGTAGAAGAACACTGGAGAGTGGTAAAGGAGATCATTCACCAGGCGGTCTCAGACACTGTTCCTTTAGTCACACCAAAAGCTAGGAAGCAACGATCATGGCTAAAAAGGGGGACACAACGCCTTCTGCAGGCGAAGCGAAAAGCCTGGTTTGCGTGGCGACGATCGAAGAGTCAACCCGAACATGAAGTGTACCTTGAACTCAGGAATCGATGTAACATACGAGTCCGGAGCGATAGAAGGACATTTCAGGGAAACCTCGCCAATAAGCTTCTCGTGAACCCCAAAAGCCTATACAGGTTTATGTCCGAAAGAAAACCGACCAACCAGGGAGCATGCAATCTAGTGGGTTCTGATGGGAAATCTCTTACTAGTCTTGAAATGGCAGAGACATTCAGCCTAGCCTTTCACAGGCAACTAAACAGTAACGAGGATATTACCCCACAGAACATCAAGATTACATCGCAAAACCAACGCGCGAAAACCTGCTGGGTACATTTCAAATTACCCCGGCTATGGTACTTGCAAAATTGGGAAAATTGGCTTCGGGAAAGTCTTCAGGTTGTGATGATATCAGACCATCTGTCCTGAAGCAGTGTTCAGAAAGTCTCTGCCAACCCCTAAGTGATCTGTTCCAACACTCCCTTGATGTAGGGAAACTTCCATGTGAATGGAAACGAGCAATCCTATCCCCTATCTTCAAGGGTGGTGACCGGCAGAATGCGACCAGTTACAGACCAGTTGCTCTACTTCCAGTGATATCGAAGATATTGGAAAGTCTCATTGACGACCACATGAGAAAATACTTCGATGGGACTAACCTTCTTCACGAAGCACAGCACGGTTTCAGGAGGGGAAGATCCTGCGTGACGAATCTTCTACTAGCTTGGAACGATTGGACACTATCCTGGGACAAAAAGGTACCAGCCCACGTGATCTTTCTCGACTTTGCGAAAGCATTCGACACAGTTCACCATGGTCTGCTCCTTCACAAAATAAGCAAGGCGGGTGTTTCTGGAGCACTTCTCGCATGGCTGAAAGATTACTTAGGCGAGAGAGAATTCTGCACCAAAGTCAACCGCATCCGATCATCCTGGCACACCTCGGCATCAGGGGTTCCTCAGGGTTCTATCCTAGGGCCGTTGATGTTTTTGATTTTTATCAACGACCTGCCCTCCCAACTAAACTGCTCTGCGCTTCTTTACGCTGACGACGTAAAGATTTGGAGAGCAATAAACTCATCGGAAGACTCAGATAGATTGCAGGCTGACCTGCAAACTCTGGGAAACTGGGCTCTGGCTAACGGAATGCCTTTCAACCTAAAGAAGTGCAAAGTAGTGCAACTTCATTCCGGCAGGTCACAGAGTGTAAATTACACCCTTGGTGGCCAGAACTTGAGTTGTGTTCCATCAGAGCGCGATCTAGGTCTTATTCTAACAGAAAAGCTAGACACCAGTGGAAATTACTCGAGGGACGTCGCCAAAGCCTACGCAACTTTACACTTTATGCACAGGCAGCTGGGAGCTCTCACTCCCGAACTGTTCTTAAGGTTATATAAGGCATATGTGAGGCCACACCTTGAGGTGCATAATATCATTGCACCTCCGCTACTCAAAAGGGATGCTAACATTCTAGAAAGTGTCCAGAGACGAGCGACAAAATGGGTGATCGGCCTCCGCAACAAATCATATGAGGAAAGACTAAAGAAATTAGGTCTTTTCACACTTAGTTACCGTAGGCACAGGGGAGACCTCATCACCGTCTACAAGATCTTAAATGACCAGGCCCACCCAAATAAAAGCATCCTGCCATTAAGTGATTATAGGCTTCCACGAGGTAACCCGCTAAGGATAGCACACCAGAGACCAAAGACTCGAGTGCGATCATATTTCTTTTCGCTTTGTATATGCCGTCTCTGGAACGCTTTACCGGCGGCCGTGACTACAGCGCCATCTGTGGAGATTTTTAAGCGGAAGCTAGACAATCATGCAGAAATGCAAGGTTTTTGTCTCAATGGCTTATCCTCATAAAACTTAAAACCACACTCTCACTGGGTAAGCATACAAACTTTTGATGTGGTTTTGTTCTCTGAGCTGGATGGTTAGTTTGCGAAGCTTTCATCACCTTACTGGGTGACATCTTCAGCGCATACTTCAATTTGAAGTGAGCTTTTAGATTTCTCCACGAGTTTATTAATCATCTCTCCTGGTGACCTTGGACATGATGGTCACCAAGGTCACCAGGAGAGATGATTAATAAACTCGTGGAGAAATCTAAAAGCTCACTTCAAATTGAAGTATGCGCTGAAGATGTCACCCAGTAAGGTGATGAAAGCTTCGCAAACTAACCATCCAGCTCAGAGAACAAAACCACATCAAAATCATCCACCTGAGCTACAAATCTTCTCTACCATAAGCATACAAACTAAATCCCCACGACCTGTTCTGCCTTATCTCACCGTACCAACTACTCAATTTTTTCCTCAGGTCACCTTTATTATTCCACTTATCCCAACCTATATTATCTACACTACAACCTATTATTATTACTATCCCACTTTTATGACTGCATCGAATGACCAACGGGTGTTAGGCCGAACTCCATTCACGGAAGCAACACAGTCCTAACATAATGCATACTACAAACCATATTTTGACCAATTCCCACACCACTCCTCTTGGAGTCTACTAGAGCTAAAGCAGTCGAGTGGCGGGACTTACTACGCAGAAGCTCACCGAAGATCTGGAACCTCTACCTCACAATCAAGAAGCGAGCTCAAAGAAATCACTGGTTTATACTAGCTCGTAATCAGGATATTGGATATTGGACTGTATTCCTGTGAAGATAACTGCGGCCAACAATGTTTCTGAAGCTGCACTCAATGGTGTCTCCTGAACTGGGGGAACCCGATATGGTGTCTTTAATTTTGGGCATACTTCCAAATGCAGAAGAATTAGTACGTTTGTGAGTTCACTTCTCATTTACACTCGCAAATGTAAGATACTCAGTTGAATGAACTTCCGAATGTTGTTTTTGCTCTTACTCTCTTGATCTGATACGAAGCTCTGAGATGACGACAGAGCGCGTCAAGCCAGAGTTATTATTGAATCTACTTAAGTTTTCCCTAAACCACTCAAAAAACAGTCAATTTCCAGGATCATAATTTAAGAGCAGATATAGGATTCACGAATACCATCTAACTTATAGTTTTTACGAGGTTGCGATGCTGGTTATACCTTGTTGAATTTCATGTCGAAGAATTGTTAAAATAAATCGATAAGTAGTTTACGTCAAGGCTGTGGCCTTCGCACAGTTTTGACTCGCTCAAGGTCACTCTGGAAGACCTGTAGTTTGGAAGAAAGTGGTGGAAGATGCTGAGATGCACGTGTTTCGACTTTTCCTTCTCTTAGGATGTACATGTAAGAAAATTAAGATTTTGACTTTCGTTATAGTTTTTCGAATTGTCAACGCAGAGTATGTTGCTTCAGTATCAATACATTGTTGCATAGAATGTAGCGAAGTGAGTTGGAGTCACATATTTTCTCAGTTTTATCTCTAGATAACTTTACACAGTCTAACCGTTTCTCTCAATTTGAATCCTGACTTAAAACCAGAGCAAAGTATTTATGGATTTATCATTACGCTTGAGAAGTATTCTAGTACAGCAAACTTACCAGGCTTTGGTTGGTTGTCCAACACCGTCACAAACTTGGTAAGTATATTTTTTAGTGAGTGAATTTCTTATCATCAAGTTCTGTATTGTTTACTTTCATGTGTACTAGAACATAAGACATTTTTATAAAGTGGAATTCGGATACTTGTGGCACATACTTCTGTCATATATTAATTTCACTTGGATAGAACACAGTGATTCAGAATTCGTTACTGTCAGCGTCTGTAACATATTTATTGATGTATTCACACTTGGGTTTTGACATGGTTATTCCAAACGTCATGATTAAATATTACTGTCACGATGTTTTTTATCAAAGTGAAGTTTTCCGTGATTGGACCACCTTGCTTATCGTCAAAAAATGTACATTATCTGTATAGGTAATGACTGACCAACTATAGGTTCATCTTGGTCATATTCAGTAAGTTGGTCACTCTGTAAAATTTACCTTCGCTTACTTTCTGAAAATCACCTAGTCTTTCGGTGTGATACCTGGCTTCTTTATGACGTGCAGTAACTTACAGGTTTATTTTTAAAAGTACTAATTATAATTGCTAATCTCCCAGCGAACTTGGCATAGTATATTTACCAAATAACGAAATATTAATTATTAGTAAACATACAGCCTTCACAAAAACATAAGAACTTATTTCCCTTCCAATTTGATGTTATTTCTGCTCTGTCCTACGATAAAATTGGTTTCAGGAAATGAGCTAAAACTCCTTCACCTTATATAACGGAGAGAATCTAAGATGATTACATTATTGTATAGATCAAGTTTAATGCGTCTGCTTGTCAACCACATTTGTGTGTTTTTAGAGGTTAAAGCCGTAATATACTGTTCTGTAATATCTTGAGATTTATGAGACTAATAGAAATAATATTAAGTTTTGCAATCAGATTACAGCTAAAAATGTTTGATAAATGGGATTTAAGCAACTTTTGGTACAAAGACCACTCATTGTAATGCTGCTAAAATCGAGGCTGCCTTCCATTACTATGTGTTAGTGCAAGAATTCACTTCGTATTTACAAGTTACAGATCAAATCGGAAATTGTTTGTGTCTGGGATACTTAACATCTGTTACAATTTGGCTGTCACAATAGGTGGTTATCGTGTTTTCTAAAAATGTACTATTATTCATTTTACTACGCCTTTGATTTATACACACGCATCGACGCGTTTCCTCTCCATTGATTCTGGCGATTTCATTTCACTTGGCTATATCGGAAATAATGAATTGTATAATGTTGAGTCTTATTGTTATTCAAATTGAAAGGAGCCAAAGTTGAACGATTAGTATTTCATTGCCTGGAATTATTTATCACTAGATTTCTTACTATTAGTTATTGCGATTTCTTGCTTTCTTTCGTTTAAGAACTTTGAAAATCTTTACCGTATCACTGCATATAAAGAAGTGGTTGGTGATCATAACAGTGATAATGTAACTTCCAACACCAACGTTTATGGATTGATATCTGTATACAAAAATGAAGTGACGTAAGTTATTTTTAGAAGCTATAATTAATAATGAAGTTATTATTTAAAATTAAACTTTTGTATGGGTTTAAGTCTTCATATTTTAACTGAGATCTCATGCAGTTATTTTGTCTAAGTTCATATAGCTGCCGTAATTATCTCCTGTAGCTATTGTAGAACATTACATTTACTAAAGGTATCTTATGATAATCTAGACTAATAGACACTCCCACACTCTTATTCCCACCTGTTACACGCGGAAATACTAACTATAAATTCAGTCTGTGTGACTAAACAGATGATCGCAAAAAAGGGATCAGTGAATGAAATAAAATTTCTCTAATTTAAAAAAACTGCGTGATTGGCTGCTATTTCAACCAGCTGATTTGGTTTTAGCTTGGTTTCCAATTTACATTATTTCATTTTAACTATCTGCAATATAGTTGGAGTTATTTGTGTGTTTCTCTGATAATGTGAAATTTTCCTTCTTATGAGAGTTATAATAAGTTGGACTTTCTTCGGAGAATAGCGTCACTTAACCAGCTATCTGCTTTCTTAGGTAACTCGGTTTTTATGCAACATTTATGCGTATATACCTTTCGATATCATTACGCTCCAACTTGCAACAATACACAGTAACTATGTTCTTGGTTATCATTTTTATTTCAGAGGTATTTCAACTTTTTACTTGTTTCCCTACCGGAACACACAATCCCACTAGGTCATATCAACTGGTATTAATGAGCACTGTTTCATCCTAATATAGAACTGATTTAAGAGTTGGAATTGAACTTAGGACCTTCATTTTTCTATTCACAATTATTGCTATGATTCGAACACTGGATAAAAATTAAATATTTCACAATCGAAATCTACCTACTTGCGCTTTAGGGGTACTGCCATTCACCGTCTTTTGTGTCTCTGTCAACACATCCGGTTTAATCATGCCTTACCGTCTAAAGTTGAAAATTCACCTCAAAACCAGTGACTAGTTTTTTTTCTATAATCAGATATTTAGATGTGAGACTTAAGGGTATTTGTCTGGCTCCAGCGGAGATTTTGTCACCAAAAGATATCAGAAAAATGTACAGCTTAAGGGTTTCAAACTGTTGTGAGACTGCTACCTAATGCTAGTTGTCCTTTAGCAGAGGTCAGTTTACGTAGAAATCTGCTTTAAAGGAGACCAATTTGGTCACCATAAAACTTTTATATAGAATGGGAAACAATAAATCAAATTCATCGGATAAATTATATAATAAATCCTAGTAGTGACAAATGTGACGACAATGTCTCAGTATTTGAAAACGCTTAGTCAGTAAAAATGTGTGGTCTGGGTAAAAGCAAAGCACATACATATATTTATAATTGCTTTTATAGAATGGCATTTTGAATAGACTGTATGTTTCATTAGAAAATTTGTCATGGGCTTGATAAATTTTTTTAAACAACAGGTACGGGAAGAATTTACCTGTAACTTATTTTTGGAACTTGATTAACTTTCCATTAAAGTAGGAATCCACTTAATAATAGTTTTGTTATATTGCTAGGCTTGCACTGAAATCAGTCTCTGTAATCTTCCATATTCCTGTCTACCATTACCCATTCTGTTCCACTCTTATACTTGTCAAACTCTATTGATTCTCTTCACTCATCTTCTTGTCTACCTTTGTGTGCTATTTGGAACGTGGCAACTCGAACTGGTGCACTTCGGTGCCAAGTTCTATGTTGAATCCAGACAGACAGACTGAAATCTATCTTTAAATTAATCCTTTGCCTATTCGAAACCTTGAATGTTCTACTAACTAGTGGTTATTAATAACCGACTTTAAAATGCATTTTGTGGAGTTCTTAGTCAGTTTAAAAGATAGTCTCTTATAAAAAGCAGTTGGTTACAGTATCCTTAATTGACAAAAGTTGAAATGTCTGACTCATTAGTGGCTGAGGGGCCAATACACCTGCTTTAAGACCTAACAACCTTGAACTTTATTGTCCTTGGTGTCGAGCTCACATTGTTTCTTGGAAAGTTGAGACAGTTCAGTACTTGTGCTTTCCTGTTTGTGTTTTATTCTTCTTCTCAGTGGGTTGTATCTTTGATGAAATCGACGTAGAAATTAATTCGTGTAATGTATAGTTACAAACTGGTAGAAGAAGGAGCCGGCGAAGATAGGACTCTAGGTGAACATAGACAAGACGGAGGTTATGAAAATAATCAACCAACAACAACAACAACAACAACAGCAACATCAAGCTGCAGTCACCATCAACGGGAGGGATTTGAAAGAGGTTACTTCATTCACTCACTTATCTAGGGAGCATTGTCTCAACTACAGACAGTTGGAACGGACGAGGATGTCAAATCGAGCGAGAATCGGGAAGGCGAGCGAGAAACACATTCATCAGCCTGAAACCAATCTGGAAATCTTCGTCACTCAGCCAGAATCAACAACAAAATTCGGATTTTCAATACAAACAACGTCAAGTCAGTCAGTTCTTCTATACAGATCAGAAACTTGGCGGGTTACAAAGAGTATTTCCAACAGCCTGTTGCAGACCTTCATCAGCCAACAACTGTCTTCGCTGGATCTATACTGAAGATCAATCAGATGGCCGGGCCGGAAAGAATCACCAATAAGAAACTATGGGCACTAACAAACAAAACAAGAACGAATCGCCAACCAACAAATATGCAGGAGAAAGTGGAGCTGGATGGATTGGACACTCGCTGAGGAGGCTGGGCCGCTGTGTGACATCGCGCGCGCGTCAGGCCATTGCTCGAGTGGAACCAGGCCGAAAGGGAAGCGGCGAGTGGGACGTCAGTGCAAGGGTAACATGGAGGAGATTGTGTGAAGAGCAGTTGAAACAGTATGGACTAACATGGATGCAGGTGAAAAGTAGAGCAGCAGAAGACAGAAGGAAGTGGAGACGTGCAATTGAAGCCCTATGTTCCACTAGGAACCCAAGGGAACAATAATAATAATGTTTAATTAGTATTTTTAAATGAAGCCGTTTTAAAAGAATTTTGTTCTGAATAAAAGAATGATTTACTGAATAACTTGATGTAAGAACGTTCTGTGAGAAAAAGCATACATTTCAGCGAAGAGTCACTCTTTTCAACAATATAATTCTTAAGCTGTACTATTGCTTGTCTATGGCGAATTTTCTTAGCAACATAAATATATGTCATTAGAATTATAAATTTTAAATAACAAATTGCGTAACACAGAAAATGTTAATCGGATAGGAACCGAAAAAAGAATTAAGTAAGTAGACTGACTGACGCAATATAATTGATAGGACTGAGCAGAATTCAACTAAGGTTGAACGTGAGTCAAGTTAACAGTAGCGGTAATAGGGGATGGAAATTTAATAGGGAGTGAGGGAAGAAAATAATATAATAAAGGTTTCTCTGCAATTCCCAATGAATGAGAAACAAAACGATGTTATTGTTTTTACTGACGTTTCGCTATTTAATGCTACTGCTAATAGCTTTATCAAAGAATTATTATTAAACCGGGATTTACAAAATCCACTCAGCATATATATATAACAAAGAGTTAAGGGGTGAGAAAAATAGACTACTTAGGCCAAGTTAAAAGGACATATTGAAAGTCAAAATAGTAATGAAGATCACTAAACCAAATACCAGAGGTTATTACCTCTGTTATGATATCAAAACAAAGTTTACTAACTTGATCATCGTTCGTCAGTCTGAGGTCATTTTTCGTTGTCAAGTTGGCCAACTGGTAGGGATAACAAAATCAAGTGTAGACTGTTGGATTTGATCAGTGTGTAAAATTATAAAAGTAGTGTGTGTTTACATAATGAAATTTGCTTATCACATTCCTGTTGATTTTGTCACTTCGTTGGGGAGGGGAGGTAGGTGTTGTAACCAGGTCAGATTCTGTTTTAGTTCATCATTCCTAATCAGGCAATTTGGATTCCACTTGATATGAAGTGCTTCTGATGAAATTGGACGTTCTTTGTGATTTCTGAAATGCTTTTTCTGGATTATTTCAATATTGTCAAAATCGATTTTGTGGCCTGATTCTATAGCGTTTAGACGACCTATGGCTGATGATTTTTCAAGTTTTTCTAGTTCAACTGGATTTCTCGGTGGTTGGAGAGATGCTCTATGGTGTTCACTTCTTCTGATTTTGATTTCACTCTGGCGATGTTTGTCCGATGTATATCGAGCATCACATTCCAAGCACTTTATTTTATAAACACAATTAGATAGAGAATCTTTAGGGATTTGGTCTTTTATATGGACAAGGTTGTTTCGTAGTGTGTCTGACGTTTTGAGGAGAACTCTAGTGTCGATTTAATTGAATGGAATGACTACTGTTGATGTCCATGTTTTCGGAATGCGTTTTCCTCCATACTTAATGCCGAGAAACCCGGTTGAACTAGAAAAACTTGAAAAATCATCAGCGATAGGTCGTCTACACGCTATAGAATCAGGCCACAAAATCGATTTTGACAATATTGAAATAATCCAGAAAAACTTCAGGAATCACAAAGAACGTTTCATTTCAGAAGCACTCCGTATCCAGTGGAATCCAAATTGTCTGAACAGGAATCATTGACTAAAACAGAATCTGACATGATTATAACACCTACCTCCCCTCCCCAACGAAGTGACGAAATCAACAGGAATGTGATGAGCAAGTTCACTATGTAAACACACACTACTTATTATTTTGACTTTGAATATGCCGCTTTAACTTGGCCTAAGTAGTCTATTTTCTCACCCCTTAACTCCTTGTTATATATATGCTGAGTGGATTTTGTAAATTCCGGTTTAATAATACTTTGATAAAGCTATTAGCAGTAGCATTAAATAGCGAAACGTCAGTGAAAACAATATCGTCCCTTGTTTTTCATTCATTGGGAAATACAAAAACCTTTATTATAATGAATATCATGTACCCAATGCCCAAATTTCTTAATAATGTTAAAAGTGAACTTCGTTTGGACATATATAAGAAAATAATATAATTTAAAAAATCACGTATTTGTTGTTAAGGCAGGTCAGGTCCTTTGTAGACTTAGTGACTGAACAAACTTCTGTATGCAGGGTTTGGGATTTAACATGTGAATCATCATTGCTTCTGCGGTTTGAAGATAGAGCTTCGGGGGAATCTTTTTTTCTCCTTTATGAAACTATGAGGGTAAGTTCAGGTATTGGTTTGTAGGCATTTGGTTGATTGGTTACAGGATTCCATCATGAGCTGACATTGGTTAGAGAAGCATTGGGAAACCTGGGAGTACCTGGGTGTGAGGACAAATACTCTCTGAAGACATTGGCTAGTAGTTGCGCTATATCGTGAATTGGCAGGGGTTAGAATTCATGGGCCATTGGATCGTATCCCAGTAGCTTAATGGTATACGAGCTCATCTTGTAACCAGAAGGTGTTGGGTTCTAACCCCGGTGGGTGCTTACTGATGAAGAGTCCCAAACTAGGACGAAACAGCTGTCCAGTATTCCCAGGTTTTCCAATGGTTCTCTAACCAACGTCAGCTCATGATGAAATCCTGTAACCATGAGGGTAAGTGTTTGATGGTACGTTTGGATAACAATCTTTGGGTACGGCCGACATGCGTAGCTCCACAAGAGCAGGTGAACTGGTAGATTTACATTGATGAGGTCAGCGGTGGTAGCGTATCCTTCACTTTCATGCGAATCATTGTTTTTATGGAGAAAGTTAGTCAAAGTCGAGCTGAGAAGAGGGTTTTCTCAATGAGCGGGAAAGGAGATTTCTGAATATTTCTGCAGATGAGTTTCCACTGGATTGTAGATTCAGGTAGAGAAGTCCTTTCGGAGCGAAAATGTGGACGGTTTAAATAATTTAGGCTTCATAGATTTTGCGATGAAACGTTGAGATTAGCCATTTTCAAGGGGAATTCTTTTCAGCGTGTTCAGCTCTTCCTTTACTCTATCAGGGCTGCGATTTCTACGGATTCTACAGACGCCAAACTATGAAAGTTACTGAGTTGTCCGTTACATGTCAGGTTTCTGTAGATGTGTCATTTTTGGTGTTCCATCTTGTTCAATTCTTGTTAGTTGAATGTCCAGAAATGATATTTTTGAATTGGACTCCTTTTCTAACGTGGAATAGATTGCAGGGTAGCAGTTAACTCAAACAGTCCGGGATGTCTTTCAAATACTATTCATTAAAGATAATTATTATCTTGTTTCTGTTTTCAAATTTATCCTTTCACTTATTTTTACCCAGGGGCTATATTAATGTACCATCTTCAAAGGTGTTTCCTTCTGGGGCTACATTGTACCTTGAACCATTAAAACAGCAGCAACAACAGAATGATAACGAAACGCTTCACCCTCCATCTGCATGTCACCAGTTCAACGTTCCATACAATCTGACTATATTTCCTGTAGATATGATAACTCTGGAGAAGCCTACTGATACCTTATATCCAACTGTACAAAATTTAAAGCAATTTCAATCAATTAATCAGAATTCGACATCATATAGACCAGAAAACTTTCAGAGACAATTTAATAGAAGAGTGAAACGATGTGAGTTGTTTAGTATTTTTTATTCATCTGTTCTGTAAATTGATTTTTATCAATTTTAAACTATGCTGCGCTTTCAGGTGTGTTGATTTCGCTACAACTAAATTAGGCATCGGTTTCTATGAAATCTTAGTCTTTATACTGAGTATGATTTTATGGTTGATTCACTATTGGAGTAAAACAAACTTTATTTCGAAGTAAATGATTCTTACTACTTAGTGTAAGTAGATATTCATGATCTCTCCTTGGTGCCAGTATAGTCGGTGACAGTTCGACTTCTACTCTGCTTTATAGTTAATGGATGGTTCAAGACTTTAAAAAGATTTATGATTAGCAAATAGTATCGTCCTCCTAGCATTAAGTAGGCTTATTTTGAAACCATGAATGTTTAACTACCGTTTATAAGTCAATGTAAAATGTAACCGGAGGTAATTTCAAGCTAGTGAAATGTTTGTTCTCAAGGGCCTGAAAAAAACAAATGCACGAGTGACACATTGATGGATTAGCTTCAACATATACATTCAGTTTTATTAGCTGATGGTTATCTAGAAAACTTTATCAATTGTCACAGCAAGGATAGACCACATCTAGAAAAGACAGCTTCTGTACCAAATAAAGCTATCTTTATTAATCTGCCATTCAATGGTGACCAGATTACGCAGTTCAAAGACAGCTCAAAGACTTCGGTCAGCCGTCAAATGCACATTCTACTCCGCTTATCTTTTCCTCATATGCCGAACATTTTCGGTCCCTGTACCTACGATTAAAGGACGAAATTCTGTGGACTCTACTTAAATAGTCAGTAGAACAACTGGATGTCGTCTTTCTAACTCGTATCATTTGTGGGTACAACGTTTTCTTTCTTTCTTTTCCTTTTCTCACTCTCTTTTTTCTCTGTTATGTGCTGCTTTGTTTCTTTCTTCTGCTTACGCCAGTAAATATGCTAGCATCTACTTTTCTAACACCTTCAAACACTGTTCAATTTTGGCTTTGCAACTGACATGCCAATATGTTTTTGTCATGATGAACTGAAATTTCCTTAATCTATGTAGAATTTTATTTATTGATAATGTACTAACTGGATGCAATACTGTAGTAAAATGCTGAGAATTCAATTATGTATCGCAAGTACTGTTTTGGAACAAAGCAAATTATTATTATTACTAAACTGTATCTACAAGTTCACCTGCAGTTGCGGTGACACCTGTATAAGTAGAACCAACAGAATGTTCCAATGTCGTGGTCGAAAAGAACATATTCCAAAATGGTTATTAAAACACATCGGAAATCCCAGTACCATTAATCTGAATAGAAATCCAGCATCATCCATTGCAAAGCACTTATTAATGTCAGGTCACAAAATCAATATTAATGACTGTTTCACAATTGTTTCACATAACTCTAATTCAAGGTAATTAAAGGTGATGGAAGCACTTTGGATTAATCACTTGCATCCTAAACTATGTGTACAAAAAGCAACAGACTTCACCCTTCGTCTACCATGGACTACTTGACCTATTTAAATATGATTGTTAAAACAATTAGTCCCTTAGATAAATTTGAATAAGACATTTAGAAGACAAATTTCGCGAGACGATTGGTCATTAGTATGTACTTTTGTTTTTTCATATATAACTGAGTAATTGTCATGAACTTTATTATTGTGAACCATGTTAGTTGTAAAGCGGTTGTAAAGAAACTACGAAATGATGCTATCATCTGGCGAAATTCGTCTTCTAAGTGCCTTATTCAGAAGAAAATACATTTTTCGCCATCTATCAGTCAAACCAAAGTTTGGAATCAGTTCATGAAATTCCTGACAGATAGTTTGAACTATGTAGGAAGGTGTACATTGTCTCGTAGGAGTCCTCAGGATCGTAAAAACCAATGACTGCAGGCAATCGACGGGAAAATCTAAAATCGAATTAAGTAATTAATATGGCCCGTTGCACAAGAAGTGGTCCTCGTGGTCTAGTGAGTAACGCTTTGGCGTTTGAAACTATGGGCATTGGGTTCGAGCCTCGTGGGAACATCATCACTCACTGGGGAATGCAGGCACGTCCAGACGACGAGTCCCAAATAGGACGAAATCCGCGTCCTGGATTCCACTGATAGTCACCATCCACTAATTAACCTGTAATTTTCTATCTTTTGTGTATCTTTGTATGGTACATTGAGTGTGGTAACTCGAATCTATGCACTTGTATGCAAAGTTCTATGTTGAAAAATGTCAGTCAGTCAGGCAGTTAATATCTACTAACACATCCACTTTCTGGCCTAATACAAACACTTTACTCCCCACGTATAAATTAGGATTTGGTACAGATTATTCCTATAGCACCATCTAGAAGTTGACAGGAAAGAATCTTCACCGGGGTGTTCAAAAGACTGATTTTTTTTTCTTTCTGAGTGTCTTCGCCTAACGCGATTATACAACTTGCTTCGTCGAAATCATCTGGATCTTTTCCAGGTAGTAGGTGAATTCTTAAAAGAGACATGTGTTGTCAACACTTTTTACTTTTGATATCACAATACTGGTTTACTGAATGCCTTCACACACACTCCTGTCTACAAAATTCCTTGTTAATGTACAGGGATGACCATTGAAAAGTAGGTATAGAGAGGAGAGAAGAATAATAACAGTCTGTATAAATTGTTTTGTCGATGTAGTTAAATCTAATGAAGACTTTGTTGCGTTGATTTCTATAGTCGTTAGTCAAAACAATAAACAACCATAATTTCTATTTATTTATTTATTTATTTATTTATTAATGAGTGATTGATTGATTTATGTTTAAAAGTCTAGCCATCTTTATTTGTATTTCCCTCACAGCCTACTTGTATTAGCTAGTTTCAACTTAGTTTAACTTTGTTTTATATGTCTGTCTGAATTATTGTTTCACGATCTTATTATCATCATTTTTGAAATGTTCAAGCTAAACATCAGCCAAATCGTTTTATGATCCGTTAATACTCATCACTCAGTCTAACTAACTAACCAACCAGTTTATTTATTTAGACATTGGCCACTGAAATATGACTGTCTATTCCAGATTTGTAGTTAAAATTTTGTCTAATTTACAGTATATGTGATCTGATTGACATCATTTAAGTGGTAATCAAGAAAGCAGGGATAAATTCATGACGCTACATACTACTGACTGATTGAGATGACTACGTGTGCATACCAGTTATATCAACCAGCATTGCTTGTTGGTCAGCCAGGACAAAATGATTTGAACACTAGTTGGCTGTTTCTATCGTTTGACATCAAGCTCATCTGTGGTGTACTACTCGATTTGACTCCCCTCAGACAGCCAAATCTGTTTAAAACTCCAGAATTATGACTAGCTATGTCTATGAGATGTTGCAATGTTGTAATGAGCCTCAATTATAGGATGCCTTAGTTGACTGTATTTGATTGTTGGCTACAGAAAGTTGATCCATGGGAAGTTTTGTTGGATTATTGTTGTCTGCTATCAGCCTATAATGTTTCCTTAGGAACGTGATTTGGTGTCGTGCAGTCTTAAAGGTAGAGGCTTTACCATCAACCTTGTTTAGGTTACAACTGAAACTTGCTTTCCACACCGGTATTGATTTGTAAGTCTTCTTGGAAAATATCTTATGGTGGATTTGAGGCAGTCACAATCAATGTTTATTCATCAATAAGCTGTTTGTTAGTTTGTGGTTCATCTTCCTGGTTTCTATCACTAACCTTGAGTTCCACTAAAGCACAATGATCTCTTTATCCGTAAAAAATTCATTTCTTGGCGAGGAAAGGTGTTGTGCATGCAAAACCACTGCCTTCCTTGTCGAGCAACGTTAGTTTTCATTCGATTGGGCTAGCAAAGAGTTATGGGTGGTCAAAATGAAACTTGGAATCTATCTTTGAAGTCTTTAATTGTTGGTTTCAGTGGCGTGGGAAGGTGTAACTGCCTGGTTAGAGTCCTTGCAAGGCTAAGAATCAATGGCACATTCTAGGTGGGGAAGATGCACTTACTGTTTGTATTCTCCCGTCTGTCTGTCTATCTGTCTGTCTGTCTGTCTATCTGTCTGTCTGTCTGTCTATTTTCGACATAGAACTTTGCACATATGTGCGGCAGTTCACGTCGCCACACTCCATGTACCACACAAAGCAAGAGAAGAAAGTAGAAGAAATGCATATTAGAGCTAGAAAGCAGAGATGTGAGACAAAGGAATAGTAATAACGAAGAACAAAACAGTTTCATTGGAAATCATTAGTCACAAGGAGTGGATGCATCTGCGCCATTGAGAACGATTTTGAGCCATACCACCAATTGTTTCCAACCATTGGTTTTTACCGTCCCGATGACCCTAACCAGGAAGTCTACACCTTCCTACGTGACTTAGACTAACTGTTGTGGATTTCATTGACTGGTGCCATGTTTTCGTTTGATCACCGATAGCTTTTTTCCGGCCTGGCCCTATATCCGCTAACATTGCCCGTCGAGGAAGGCGATGACTAGGCATATGTAACACATGTCCTAACCACCTCAGTCTTTGTAACTTCACAACTTCGTCGATTGATTTCCCCTCCCACCTACCTAGCACTCGACGCCTAACCTGAATATTGCTCACCTTATTATACCACTTCGCACGGAGATAGAACACAGGCACCTATGATCGAAGACAGCTAATCTTTTCATGTCTTCCACTCTCAATGGCCAGGTCTCACTCACAGCCATAAAGGGGGACGGAGCGGACTGATGAGCAGTACACCCGCCCTTTGGTCGATAGTCGGATATCACGTCTGCGCCAGAAACGGCGTGAACTAGCAAATGCGAAGCGAGCCCCCTTATGCGTGCTGAGATTTCGTCAGAGATCAACCCGTTGGCGTTGGCTGATGGTACTTCCCAAATAAGTGAAGCAGTCAACGTGCTCTACCACTTCACTTCCTATTTTTAGACTAGGCGTCGATGTAGTCCAGTCCTGTAACATCATCTTGCATTTGGTGGGAGCGAATCGCATTCTAAACATTCGTA